CTGACAAAAACAACAACAACAAATTTGTAAAGTTAGGAATGGTAAAGAAATAGTATATAGAACCAAATGCAAAGAAGAAAAGGCTGGAGCCAGGTATCAATGGCTCATGCCTATAATCTTAAATACTCAGGAGGCTGGGCTGGGAAGGTGGCTCAGTGGTAGAGCACTTGCCTTGCATGCATGAGGCCCTGGGTTCAATTCCCCAGTACCACATAAGCAAAAAGAAAAAAAGCCGGAAGTGGCACTGTGGCTCAAGTGGTAGGGCGCTAGCCTTGAGCTGAAGAGCTGAGGGACAGCACTCAGGCCCAGAGTTCAGGCCCCATAACCGGACCCCCCCCCCAAAATACTCAGGAGGCTGAGCTCTGAGGATGATGGTTCAAAGCCAGCCTGGACAGGAAAGTCCATGAGACTTATCTATAATTAAGCACTAGAAACCCAGAAATGGCACTGTGGCTCAAAGTGGTAGAGCACAAGCCTTGAGTAGAAAAGCTCAGAGATAGCGCCCAGGCCCTGAATTCAAGCCCCGTAACCCATGAAATGAGAGAAAAGGCTGGAAGAGGGGCAGAGAGGAAGTAGAAATTCCAAAACTGGCTACAGGACACTCTAGCTCTGCATCTCAACATGCTCCTACCTCATAGATTTAACTTGGTCTGCAGAGTAACTGATACAACAAAGCAGATCAGTTGTTACCCCTACACATACTTTACAGATTAAAAAAACACAACAACTAAGATTCAAATCGACAAAATGAGTTACCCAGGGTCAAATAATAACATAAGGCAGAAACCCTGACCTAAATTCTTGGGAATTCTGAAAACCCACTGGATCGTATGCAGAGACATGATTCAGAGAAGCCAAAGGAAGAATGGGAGAGAAATCTAGGGAAGGAAAACATAGGGCCCACATGGGAAAACATTAAGATATAATAAGTGTAACGGAAGCAGTGGGATAGGGAAGGAGCTGAAGCTGTGAGGATAAAAATTAAGAGGAAGTGAAAATGGCCAAGTTCTGCTTCAATTTCTAGCTATCAAAAAAGGGAAAACATTATCTTCTCAAGCCTCTAAATCTATAAGACAGTCAAACACCCATACGAACTATGAAAGTACTAAAATAAGTGCCATGGAAGGGGAAGACACTAATGTTGCCCCCAACTAAAGGAAGAGGCTGAACCCTGCTCTTTTCTAGGGAACTCTGGAACAAACCCCAACAGTGAATATACAACTACAGGAAGAATACTCACACATCTGTACTAAAAAATATATTGTTTTTCTAAAACTAAAACTAAACAATAGTTGCTTCATGCAGCTTTCTATTATTGACATGAATTTTGACCTTCTTTTTTTTCTCTTAGGACTGGTGTTTAAACTCAGGGCCTAGTAGCTTGCCCAGCTGGTGCTCTACCTCTTGAGCCATGCTGTCAGCTTGGCTTTTTGCTGGTTAATAATAGATTCTCATTGACTTTTCTGCCCAGACTGGCTTTGAACTATGATCTGTAGGTGTCAGCCTCCAAAGTAGCTAAGATTAGAGACATGAGCCACCAGAGCATAGTTTGGCTTCTATTTTATTTTTTTGGTACCAGTGCTGGGGCTTGAACTCATGGCCTGGGCATTGTCCCAGAGCCTTTTTTGCTCAAGGCCAGTGCTCTACCACTTAAACCATAGCTCCACTTCCAACTTGTTGGAAGTCAGTTGGAGATAAGAGTCTCACAGACACTCCTACCCAGGCTGGCATCAAACCAGCACCCTCAGACCCTATCCTCCTGAGTAGCTAGAATTACAGGCATGATCCACAGGCTCCTGGGTCTGTTTGACTTTTAAAAAGCAGTGTTAACAATTAAAAAAAAAAAAAAAGAACCTCGGGGAAGGTAGGAAGGAAAGGGATAGTAGGGAGAAAACAATGGAGGGGGTAACAATGCCCAATAGGAAGTGTACTCATTACCTTACTCATGTAACTGTAACCCTCTGTATAGTATCTTTACAATAAAAAGTTTAAAAAAAAAGTAGTGTTAAAAGCCTGCTTTGGATGTTATTAATTTCTATACATCCTTTTATTATCTTTTGTTTCTCTTTATAGAATGGAAGGTGTTTCAATTGTTACCCATGGAAACAGCAAAACAATTTAACCTCCAATGGTATGATTTTGTGTGTGTGATGGGGAGCAACCCACAATAATTTCACAAAATTGACTCAAGACTAATAGGAAAAATGTTCTTTATGTTAAGAAAAAATAACCAGCAAGAAGGGATGGCAAAAGGAAAAACATTCTAAGGACCATACAACTTCCTACAGTAACTCTGTCTGCCTCTGTGTAAAGTTCCCTCCACTAGATATACCATGGGCTTCAAAAGAGTTCTGAAAAGCCCCATAGTTTCCCCTCTTCACAGGCGATGTTTTCCAGAGGGAGAAGGGAAAGCAGGGTATGCTGGAGTGCAGGCCCTTCATGTGATGTGAAGCACTCCAGACTAGCTCCAGAAATGTTATCAAGAAGCAGAACACAAACTTACACCAGATTCTGTTTGCCCAAGGCCTTTCCTAAAAGCTCAAGGGATGACACTGAGAGTCCTTGAAGGGACACCTCCTCTTACCAAAAGAAGTCCTGTACACAAATTCATCGGACACCAGGAAGCAGACATACCGAGACAGGAACAGGGTTGCAGTTTAAATGTTCAGCTCTTCACATTCTGACTTAGAATCTGTGCATTCTGGCAAAATATCCAAGGCTAATCAGGGACATAGATACCCACAGTGGCGCAGCGTAATGGGGGATGGCAAGCAGAGGCAGCATGACTTGTGCCACCCACCCACCCCTTTCCAAATGCATCAGAATTCACAGGAGGGGAGATAAGAACAGAAAGGCTTACTTTGTCCTCTGCCTACCTTTTGCTTTGCTCTTAAAGCTAGACTCTACACCTCATCTTCTCATAGAGAAATTTCTATAACCCTAAGGCAATTATTCTACAGGTAAATGATGATGAAAGCCATTTGAATCTGCTGCACAAAATATGTCAGAGTGTGCTTTGAAAGGCATTTCTCATTACTAGCCCTACAAAGTGCATTAGCATTTAAGCATTCACAACTACTACATTCTAAATCACACTTCCTGCCCAGTACCAAGAAACTATTCCTGGGGGGATAGTTCCAGGAGGAATATGGAAACTGCTCGAGCCAGATCAGCACACAGCAATTTAAGAGTTTGGTGATAACCTTCCAATAGTGCTTCATTCTTTTTTCTTTTCTTTTTTTTTTTTTTTTTGGGTCCGGTCATGGGGCCTGAACTCTGGGCCTGGGCGCTGTCCCTCAGCTCTTCAGCTCAAGCCTAGCACTCTACCACTTGAGCCACACACAGCGCTACTTCGGGCTTTTTTCTTTTGGCTTATGTGGTGCTGAGGAATCGAACCCAGGGCCTCATGTATGCAAGGCAAGCGCTCTACCACTGAGCCACCTTCCCAGCCCTAGTGCTTCATTCTTAACAGCAAATATCACCATAATCACATCTAGCTCCCAAAGACACTGTTGATAAACAAGCTACGTTCTGGCCAATTGAAAACATATAGAGAACACCCATGAGCACAATTTGTTAAAATTATGGCTTGATCAATGAACATGTTTTTAAAAAGTATGTTTTTTTTCTGTTATTTGAACAGAAGTACTAAAATACAGAATCTCAGAGAAGAGAACGCCTAGGGGAGAATTGTCTCCCATAATTGGGTTTTCACAGATAAAGAAACTGAAATTGTTTCCTTGAAAAAGGTCTAATAACACAGTAAACTCTTACATCCACCTGTGTAATTCCAGCTCCTAAGAATGTTCCACATAGAAAAACGTTCCAAAGAAAGTAATCCACTCTTACAAAGCTCTGGGCTATAATTACACTGGTTTTGTAGTCTGAGAGGGCAGGTGACTCAATCTGTGCCAAACACAAGGGCTCCAAGCACTAGAGAAGAGCCTGGGAGATTATCTAGTCTAGTCTAACTTCCTCATTTTACAGAAGAGGAAAAGACTCTTACAATAAAAAGCACAGCAGTCCACAGCAAGTATCACTTGCTCACAACTGTAATCCTACTTACTCAAGAGGCTGAGATTTCAGGATCAAGATTTGAAGCTAACCTGGGCAAGAAAAGCCCCTGATACTTTTATCTCCAATTAACCACCAAAAAACAAATAAAAAACAGATGAGGAGCTGTGGCTCAAGTGGTAGAACATTAGCCTTGAGCAAAAAAGCTCAGGGACAGAGGCTAGATCCTGAGTTCTAACCCCAGGACTGGCACACACACCTCTTAAAAATGTGAACTAACTGTATTCATCTGTAGTGCCTGATGTGAATGTAAACATATATTAGGCATGTACAGACATATGTGTATGTGTATGTATGTGTGTGTGCATGTGTGTGTATGTATCTGACAATAAGTCTTATTTTTGGTACAGTAAAATACAGCAAGTCACATTAAAAAAGACTTCAAGGAGAAATCTCCTATAAATGGACTTCTCTAGAGATCTATCAACTTTAAATATTAAATCCACTAAACACTGTATCTAAATGATCATCTTAAAAAAAAAAGAAACCAAAAATAAAAGAAGGTGCCAGTGGCTTATAGCCAGCTACTCAGAAGGCTGCAATCCAACAGATCAAGGTTTAAGCCAGTGCAAGCAGAAAAGCCCACAAAAACCTACCCTTAACCAGCAAAAGTCCAGGCTGGAGGCCTGGCTCAAATGACAAAGAACCAGCCATGAATGACCAAGCAAGCAGAGAAAACTAAAGGTCCTAACCTTAAGTCTTCATTCTGGCAAAATAGACAATAGCTAGCTAGCTTGATAATACAACTTCACTGATGAGTTGTTTAATCATCTTATCATAAACATAAAAAGTGTCAAGAGCTGAGATTCTCTACACCAGTGCTTTAAAATAGTGTCAAAATCCTTTGTGACACAGATGAGAACCTCAGTTTCTATGATAAGTGGCAGCCTGATTTCAGAGTTCGAGTCAGTCCTGAGAGATATTACCTGTTTCTCTTTTTCCGGTGCTCTCTATTAGAATTTTCCGATTCACTACCACTGCTTGTGTTACAGCGCGAGCGTGACCTGAAGGCAAAATGGGAAAAGAAAAGGAGGGGGGCTATGTTTATGAGAAAGAAAAAAAATCTCAGAAACATTCATTTGGTTCTTTAGAAGTGATTTTTGTAATAAAACTGCTAATCTAGGTATAAAGAACTACATTATCCCTCTCCCAGTCAGTTGTTGCTGAACTCAAACATGTGACTAAGTCTACAGCTCGGGGAAATAACAAGGGCGGGAAAGATGAAAACATATTAAGGCAAATGTACTCCCAGAAGGACCATGAGAACAATCATTTCCAACAAAACTTAGACATGGCAAAGCTATAAGCTCCTACAATGGACTAAACATGGATGAAAAGTATTAGTCCTCTTCCTACTACCACTTATACAGAGAGATTATTTCCTCTGCTTTGAATTTACAATGGTCCTGTGCCTGCTTTTACCAAACAAATAAGCTGTGAAAAACACCCTGACAGCTTCAGGAATGTTCTACAACATTCTTGCTCACTTACTTCCTCTCCACCACCATCAAAAGAAGACTAGGCTAGCCACTTGGAGAGACCTTATAGACAGGTCCAGCCAAGTCTCCAGCCACATTCCCCAAGAGGGAAACATAAGAGAAAAAGGTCCCCAGCTACCATACTGCCTCCTCTGCCATCCAATGCTAAGTTTGAAAAAAAAAAAAAAAGCCTGTTCTAGCAACAGAATTATACAATATATAGATGTGCGTATAAACACATCTACCGACATATAAAAATTTGTTGTTGCTTTAGAACACCAAATTGTGGAGTGGTTTATAATATAATAATGAATAACTGAGACAGCTTTAAGTAGAAAAAGAGAAATGACTCAATGTCCAAAGATGATTACAGAATGGAAAACTGAGAACTAATTGAAACTAAAACTGTTTTTTTTTTGGTTAGGAAAAAATATTTACAACATACAATATAATCTCTTAAGCAGCCACCATATTAAAGAAAAAACTATTCCCACACTTTCCTTAACTCTGACTATGGCTAGTCCTTCCTTCATCTTGCTAGCTGTCCTTTTGAGTTTTTTGTTTTGGTTTGGTTTTACCTCCTCCTCTGCTTTAGATCTGAGTCTTCACCACTGTTATGGGCTTTCCTAGGGAAAACAAAAGAAAACATTAAAGAAAAAAGAATACTATCAAGAAAGTACACCAGCTGAGTATGGTAGTTCATAATTCTAGTACTTGGGGATAAAGGCAGGAGGATCTATAATTTGAGACTAGACTGGGCTACAAAGCAAGTTCAAGGCCAGAACAGGCCTCATAGTGAGACCCTGTCTCAAAAAAAATCTGTGTATCTGTTCACTGAGCACACATTTAAGTCATACATATAAGCATGTAAGCTCAACAGTACAAACAGAAATACAACAAACCACCAACTGGCCTGGGGAAGCCAGAAAATTGGAGGGGGCGGCTAACCATCTGTAAGTAATCGTATACAACATGTCTGTTATGTTCCTCTTGTCCAGAGACAGGGGTAGTCTGCAGTTTCCTGGTCTGTAGTCCTCCAAGGAAATGTCTAACTGACAGCCCCCACTGGATGCCCTGTCCCATACCTTGGTCTTCAAGTAGTTTTATCTCTTCTCTGATAACCTCTTTCATTACAACTCAACATCATCATAGTCACACTGTGGACTTTACTGTCTGTAGTCAGCTCCAGACACTTTGTTCTCTGACCACAACCTCCTCTCCTTTCTATTTGCCTGCGAACAGCTCCAGTGGGGGCATCTTGTTACAAGTGCAGGCTCTGAAGCCAGACACACTCAATGTGAATCCCATCACCTCCACTGCTAACTCATTTCTCTACTTAGTGCCTCCATTTTAACAGAATCTTCCATAAGGGCCAATGAATGAATGCATCTAAAATGAAGAGTAGGATGAGATCATTGTAAGTACTCAACAATGGAAGCTATGTTATGACTGCTTATTCAACTATTTTCATTTCATTATGCTTTTAACTCCAACAGGACTACCTACTGACTTTACACCTTTCTCTAGCTCTTTACCTTTCTTCATTGTCCTCATCATTCAGCTTAGATTTTTCTAGCCTGTCTTTTCAATGACCGGTGTCAATACTTAACCCTTGTCTTGTCTCTGTATTTCATCCCATCTTTTTTGGCAAAACACCATATATGGGTAAATACAACTCTCCAGGTGTTCTGAGCCAGCCCCAAATAGCTGGCGGAGCATAGCTGTGAAGAGCTACACAAGAGCATATCAGTTATGCTTCAGTGTTCACATTGTGAACCTAGCCATCTGCCTCTGCAGAGAGTGATTAAAGCTTCCACTTGCATCTCTCCAGCTAAGGTTCCTTTACTCCAGTATATGACTTTGCTTTCTCCTTCCAAAGGAGCCAGGGGCCGGAACTCTTTCATCTTCCTGCTACCAAAAATAACAATTTACCAGCATCCCCTGTTATTTATAAACCTATCCTGACAGGTGCAGGACCTGCACCTGTGTTGTGCAAGACCCATCCTGTGTTTTCTCAATACTTTCATTAACTATTCTCTTTTTAAAAATTGCCAGCTTTTTTTTTTTTTTCCAGTCATGGGCCTTGAACTCTGGGCCTGGGTGCTGACCCTCAGCTCTTCAGCTCAAGGCTAGCACTCTACCACTTGAGCAACAATGACACTTCTGGTTTAACTCTGGTGGTCTATTGGAGATAAGAGTCTCACAGACTTTGCTGCCTGGGCTGGCTTTGAACCGTGATCCTCAGATCTCAGCCTCCTGAGTAGCTAGGATTACATGCGTGAGCCACTGGCGCCTGGGACCAGCTAACATTCTCACCCCATCTTATTTATATAGGTACGTATCTAAGATTACTCCATATACCCCAATCACTCCACACACCCCAATCTTCTACTGAGTCTCACCTTTCTTTCAAATCCAAAACCTGAGGTCTAAGCATCCTGTACCATGTCCTTCCCACCATTATTCCAATCTCCCCAGGGTAGGCATAGCTCATAATGCTACCACCATTGCTTATATTCTCCTATTATTGCAATATACTTGTATCCAATACCACAACATTGATAAGTAGTTCTTGTCCTAACATCAAAATTTTGGGTAATCATTACTATATATACAAGTATATGAATACTCTTATAAGGATTGTCTAGATAGTGTTTTAGGAATGTAGTTCCATTATAGGTTTTTAATTTTCTGAGGGAGACTGGTTTTCTAGCTTTCTATGATAAACCACTTGCTTAGTTTTCCTTTGCTTATCAGTAATTCCTCATCTACACTCTTTGGGAGTTGCCCAACTCCTGATATAAACTGAACAGACTCGTAGGCAATCACCAATTCCACACGTCCTCCTCCTGTACCCTCTGTTCTTCTGCTCACACTGGATGGCCTGTTCCTTAGCACCAGTGCACACTGATGTTTTTGATAGACTCCCTTCACCATGATCTGGGGAATTCTTTTCTTTGTATGATAGATCCTGTATTTCCAAGTTTTGAGACTTCTGGTCTTAGTTATCAATCATCTTTTGCAGGATCTGACTGTGCGTGTTTTTTTGTGTGGTTTATGGGTTTTTTTTTCTGTAGTGCTAGGGGTCTCATGCATGCTAGGCAAGTGCTTTGCCACTGAGCTATAACCACAGCCTAGCTGCACCATTTAAATGACATTACGATGTGCATCAGTGGCTCATGCTACCTCATGTAATCCTAGTAATCCAGACTACCTGATGTAATCCTAGTAATCCAGACTCAGGAGGCTGAAATCTGAGGATGAGGGTTCAAAGCCAGTTGGGATGGCAAAGTCCATGAGACGCTTATCTCCCATTAACCAGCTAAAAACCAGCAAAAGTGGAGCTCAAGTGGTAGAGTACTAGCCTTGATCATAAAAGCCCAGGGACAGCCCTCAAGCCCTGAGTTCAAACCCCAGGACTGGCACCCTAAAAAAAAAAAAGTAGTTTCTCAAACTTTTTTTTTCTTTTGCCAGTCTGGCCAGGATCCAGTTTTCTCCAGATCTCAGTCCTTCCCACATAGCTACTATGCCAGGCACTCACCATCCCAGCTATGGTTTGAGAAGTGGTCTTTTGTGCTATATATATTGACTGGACTCCTCAATATCCTGACCTCACTCTCTCTCAAGTAGCTAGCTAGGATTTCAAGCACGGGCCACCACACCTGGCTTTTGTCTTGATTTTAATGGGCCGAGTCTTCAAGTTTGACAACTGAGATTTTGCAAAGGTAGATATATTTTGGAAACCTTGTATTTCTGTAAATGTTTTATTCTACACATGCAATCACAATTTATCTGGGCATAGAATCAAAGACTGATAATAATCTTTCAGAATTTTGAAGGAAGCATCTTCCTTGCCTTTGATGTGTTTTATTATCACAGAGCTAGCTATTATGCAGCCCAGTGTCATTCTGACTTGTCATGAATACTTGTGCATGGATTTTTCCCTCTCCCATCTCTTCTTCTCTTCTCCAGCTCTTTAAATTGTCCCTTAATCTGCATTTTGAAACTTAAGGATAGTAGATCTTGGTATGAATCTCATTTTTCAATCTATTATGCCAAATTCTCTGAGAATTGTTTTATGTCTAAAAGTCATGTCCTTCAGTTATGGGATATTTACTGAATGCTTCATTTTCCTATATTTTCTACTTAATATTCTCTTGCTCTATATGCTCTTTATTTTTTATTGGAAATTCCATTAATTCAATTTTTTATATATAGGTTCAATAATTTTATTAAACTCTTATCACCAAACAAAATTGTTTCTGTTCTCCTAGGAAGATTTCCTTAACTTCATCTTAAGTTCAGTCACACTACTATAAAGTCTAAAAACTAATATTCACTGACTCTTACCTTCTTATAGAAATTCACTGACAGTATTTTTCATTTTTCTACAGATAATCCTTGCTAGCAATTTTGTGTGTGTATTTTATTTTCTCTGCTTCCTGTGAGATTCTTCCCCTTCCCTGAACCTCATTTGTTTGTTTCAGTCTCTGTCTTTCAAGACAGAAGCTATACTAGAGAGCAGATTTTCATGGCTCTCTCCAGCTCTAAACACTAAAGAGACTGGGACCTGTTATGTGGGGCAGAGCATGCTGAGTGATAGCTCCACTGTTCTTTGGGGGTAGTCTCAGCCCCTTGTGAGAAGATTCTTTGAAAATTACTTTCTGTAGGTTTTTTTCTCTTATACCTGCCCATCCTACAAAAGGATTTTTTTTAGTCTCATGCGTAGGAGATGAGATAAAAGTCTGGCATCTAGCATTCTGGGAGTGAAGAAGGAGGAATCAAAAACAAAATTTCAATAAGAAAGAAGTAGAGAGGAAGGATCCATTTGGAGAGTAGATTTGGAGAGTAGGTTTTTTTCCCCCCTATGGCTACAATGTCTTTGCTTCCTCCTTTACCAGCCAATCCTGTTCAGTGAAGCCACAAAATGATGGCGTGTCTTACAGCTCTGTCATTGGCTTTGTCTTTACATCATCTGTCTAAAGCTTCATCTCTATTACATGTCTAAATTAATATCTTTAGTGTTAATTGATATTGATGATTGATATTTCAGTCCACAATTAATCTAGCTCTGAATTTATAATCCACCAACCCATGAAAATCTTGTACTTAAGACTTCTCAGCAATACCGCAAATCTGACAGATCAGAAACTGAACTCACAATTGTCCCTTTCAAGCCTGCAATGTCCTAGTGATTTTTTATTTACGCATTGCATCTAAATTCCTGAAATTACAGTGTCTTGGATTCATTTGTTATAACTGCCTAGTCTCCATCCCTCATACTGATCCTATGGTTCGGGTCCTATATATTGATTTCTCTTCCTAAAGGCTCTCAAACCATTTGTTTTCTTATGTCCCCACATCACTATCTTGTCCAAGCTTTCCTTCTCTATCTTATTTTCTGTGTTTTTTTAAGGGGAGGGGTGGTTGTCATTTGTTTGAATTTTTTTTTTAGAGAGAGGGTCTTATTATAACCCAGGATAACCTCAAACACATGATCTGGCTTGGCTTAAATTACAGGTTTGTACTACCATGTCGAGCTCTAATGCCATTTCTTCCACAGTATAATAAAGGCCATTGCTATGAACACAAATGCAATCATATTTTATTTCCTTGTAAAAACTATTGGTTTAAGAACCAAATTCCTAAACAAGGCCCAAGTGGGCTTTAAAGTCTGTCGTACCTTTTTTTTTTTTTTTAGCTCATTTCTAACACATTTCTGCCAACTCTCAAAGGTTGAGAACAACTGACCTTTTTTTTTTTACTCCCCCCTCCCCCCACCATTTCAAAGATGTTCCCTGTTCTCTCCTAGCACCTTCTTTATCCCAGCTCACTGACTCATCTCAGGAAACCTTTGCTGGTCTACTTCATTAAGCAACTTAGCAAAAAACTTCCTCTAATGGTACTGGTTGTACAGGACTTCAATATGTAAACCCATCAAGCTCTTATAATACGTATACTTTTGTGCATGCACACTAGGTTTCACTAGAGAGGTTTTTGTCAATTCCTCCAAGCAACATATAACTCACTTTCGTATAACACCAAAGACATGACTGAGCATGTATTTGTGTGTTTTATGTATTTTTCCCTTAACAGCCTGTAAACTTCTACAGGACAGGAACTTTGTCTAGTGTTTTTTTTTCACCCTGTCTGGCACACAGAAAGATACTCAATAAATCTTTGAGATTAAAAGACAGAAGATGAGGGGTACAGACAAACTGCACTTCCAGAATAGAATATATCTGGAATAGAAATGTCTAAACAAGCCGCTTTCAAAAGTTTAATAAACCCTGAAAATTATATGTCAATATTTATGCATATTTAAATATATATCTTTTCCTCTAGAGACTGAATCCGACATCTTATCAGATTCTCAGAGGGTGCCAACTCTCAAAAGGTTAAGGACCACTGTTGTAGACACAGCCGGGATTTGATAACTTACATCATCTCATCACCAACAACTACAAAGCAAGAAGTTGTAATACCTTTCCAAAATGTGTTCATCCTGGCATCCAAAGCAAAACACAACTTCCCATTATTAAATGTTAAGTTAAATGTTAAGTCCTTGAGATTCTTCCACACGGATGACAAATCTCTGTTTTAAATGTCAGAGTTAATCCAGCAACATAGGGATTTGTGCCCATGGGCAAAGCAAATGTGTGTGAAGATGAAAGAAGATGACAAGGACATGGACATTTATAGGGCATTTACAGTGGAAAGAAATGGAGAATAATGTACTTTAGATTTCTATTCCAACATACAGCAATGGCTGGTCTCCTCGAAATGAATGTGCCCAACAAGAGACCTTTAAGTGACCTGGAGAGCAGACAAAGGCTCTAGGGCCACTCAGGCAGAAAAGACTCTTCACGGTAAATTAAAGCACTCTTCCCTTGAACTGAGCCCTTAAAGGCACTGTATCCACTCTTCACAAATGACTTCTCAGTGTTTCACAGGATACCAGGCGAAAATGCATGTCAGCATAGATGTGATTTAGCCCAGATTTTGGCATGTATAATATTCCAAACAGTCTTAAGCAATAAATTTAGGGGGAAAAATTTTGATATGTTTTAGCACAGATTGATGGATTCAAATTTCAAATGTATTAAAATAAAAATGATTATCTGCTGAACAGATGTCATAATTTTATTTAGGGAGGACTAACGAGTTACACTAGTGATTTAAGGATCTATCCATCCCTCCAACAATCTATCCATCTAACAATAATAATGTTCAATCCTTAATAATAATGTGTTAAGTCCTTAATATATGTCACCATCACTACTTATACCTCCTCAACGCAGACACACACATACAATTACATACAGACATACACACATACATACACAAATATACAGAGGCATGCTGTTCTTTCCAGCATTTCACAGTGATGCTGCTTTGTCTTGGGTGTCACCACAGTTGAATGAATCCTTGGCTTTCCCAGGAGAGTGCTCAGTAAAAGAAGAGCCTTATTTAAATTAGGGCTTATTTTCCTTGTTTTTCAGATCTATAGGCTTAGATTTGAATCCTAGGTGTATCCCAAAGAACACGTGGCTATTGTCTCTCTCTCAGCCTGTTTTCTTATCTATAAATGACTAAGGATTTTTCATGGAAAGCCAGTCCCCTACTAACTCATTAATATCCTCTTCTTCATTGTTGCAACTAGAAGCCTAAAAATTATTTTCTCCTAGATTTCCTTGCCAGCTGCATTCTTGTTAGAAGCGCTCACATAACCCTGGAGGGTGAGAGAAAAGGGCAAGCAATTATGCTCTGGACAACTACGGCATCAGGTCCCAAGAATGGAGGCTCAGTGGCTCTAACCATGGTGCTGCTATCTCCACCAGAGGCAGCAAGAGGAGCCCCTGCTCAGTATCTGTGCTAGCATCATGATGGTCCCAATGCAATGCTAGCTGCAGCACAGGCTCAGCAGAGCCAGCTCAAAGAAAAAGTAGCTTCTGATCTCTGGTCTTCTCTTCTCTAGTCCCCCATCCAAGGGAACTAACTGGCCAGATCTCCAGGTTATATTATTCTTTACTCTCTGTGCCTTGAATCCTTTGTACGCCATTGTGGCAACTGCCTGCACAATCTCTCTGTACTAGAGACTCCTATGACTTCATCAAATATCAGTTGCCAGAACTTAATGACAGGACCAAATCAGATGCTAGACAGTGAACACTTTGAACAGTATGTAGAGCTCAGTAAGCACCAAACAAATGCTATTACTTCATTGTTCTGTCTAAGCACTGTTGGTCCTGATCTAGCTCTCCTTTCTCAGACTTTCTTGGGAAGGTGATGTAGATTCTTCTTAACTATCAGAGGATTTCAGTTGGATTCAAGTTGAGAAAGCTGAGGAGCAAGACTCTAGGAAACAGACCGAAGTAAAAGGCATCCAGTAGGGAAGGATCTACAAGTGAGTGAGCACAGGAACACTGGAGGCTTTGTTTACAAAGCCACAATGTTATCTACAGAATCTTGATGGCTCTATGACATTGTGGCTTGAACTCATCACTTATAAAATACTAATTACGTGGATAGCCACAGTAAGACTAGGTCTTGATCAGTTGGTGTAAAGGGAATTTCACTTATAAGTCTTCCTTCATCTGTCACCTGTCATATTTCTGCATTGCAGCACCCAAAACCTCTAAGTATAGGCTTTTTATTTTAAGGTTAAGCATACAGGCATAAATAAAATGACAGAAACATTCTGACCTGCTTTATATGAGATTATGACTCATTTTCACAGCTCTAAAAGGGGCTTCCAGCCAGGCACCGAAGGCTCATACGTGTAATCCTAACTACTCAAGAAGCTGAGATCTGAGAATTGTGGCTCAAACCCAACTCTGCAGGAAAGTCTCATCTCCAATTAACCACCAAAATGCAAGAAGTGAAGCTGTGGCTCAAGGGGTAGCGCGTTAGCCTTGAACAAAGAAAAGATCAGGGATAGTGCCAATGTCCTGAGTTCAAGCCCCAGGATCAGCACTAAAAAAAAGTAGAGGGATGGGGAATTTCACTAATGTTTACATAACAACCTCTGCAGAGGTCAGGGCACTCAGACCCAGCATAGAACACTTATATTTAAATGTTGTATTCTCTTCCTGGGTATAAATATTTAACACATTTATATATTATTTATACTATGTAACATGCATACCATATTGTCAGCATAAAATATATATAGCATTCTTAAAATCTATTAATTAAAGTACACAAAGTAAATTCTTCATGCTATTTTATGATATTATTAAAGATCTGGCGGTTGCAGATAAATGTCTCCTGATCCCTAGCTTACTTTATCTTAAAATTAATCATCTCCAGTTTTCTCAAGGAGTCAACAGCAATAGCATTATAAGACCTTCCTCTTGTTTGGGGATGTTTGGGGATCAACGCTTCCATCAGAACCTGGAACCAGAGCTGTGCTCCTCTTACCGTCGCCTCATTGGCTGCACAGAGTCATTGTCACTTCCACAGGAGGGGTTTCGGCGACGAGTATAGGGGAACTTTGGTGATTTAGTGCGGTCACTGGGAGAATTGTAGAGTCCACTGGAGGAAAAGAGCAACGGTTGACATGTCAACTTGGAAGTTTCTACAGGAACTATGAGATAGCAGAAATTATCATGAATATGTCATTTGGACCGTGCAGAAAGATATTACTTCACTCTATGTCTATCACTAGTCCTTGCAAGGAAAACATTGCATGTTTAAAACAATAAATTACTCAGGAGGCTAAGATCTAAGGATCACAGTTCAAATCTAGCCTGGGCAGGAAAGTCTGTGAAACTCTTATCTCTTTGAACTTTGGCTCAAAGTGGCAGAGTGCTAGCCCTGAGCACAAAAAGCTCAGGGACAGTACCTAAATCCTGAGTTCAAGCTCTACTACCAACAAAAAAGAAACAAAACCAAACAAAAAAACCCATATTATTAGCTATGCACAGTATCTCAAGTCTGTAATCCTAGCTATTTGGGAAACAGAGACTTGGGAGGTAGGTCATGGTTCAAGGCTAGACTGTGTATAAAAGTTCATGCCTCGCATGCATAAGGTGCTGGGTTCGATTCCTCAGCACCACATAAGCAGACAAAAGCTGGATGTGGCACTGTAGCGCTAGTGGTAGAGCGCTAGCCTTGAGCTGAAGAGATGAGGGACAGTGCCCAGGCCCAGAGTTCAGACCCCATTACTGGCAAAAAAAAAAAAAAAAAGTTCACAACAGATTGCTGGGAAGGGTGGCACACATCTGTCATCCAGGCTACAGAGAAAGTAGATAGATGGCTGGACACAGTGGTGCCGATGTCACCCCCAGAAAGATGGGGAGGCACAGGTAGAAGGATCACAGTCCAGGATGGCCCAGGCATTAAATGACCTTACCTCAATAATAACCAGGGCAAAAAGGGGTGACAGGTGTGGCCCAGTCAGTCTCAAGTACCCGCCTAGCAAGTGTGAGTCCCTGAGCTCAATCCCCAGTATCACCAAAATAAACCAAGCAAAACAAAACACAAAAGAAAGAAAAGAGACCCAATATTGATTTCCACCTTGAAATCTGCCCCCAGTCAAGCCGGTTTAGGAATATGCCTTGCCCAGTACTAGCTGTTACCAGCCACATCACAGTAAAATTGCTGTATTCAGTGAGCTGTAACGGCTAACTCTTTGTTCTTATTCTCCTTTCTAAAGACAATGAGTCCCTTTACCTCTGGGGGCCATTTTCTTCCCACGGGGCATGAGATTTTCTTCTTTGGGTATCAGGGCTGTTCTCATTCTTTGCTTTCTTAAAGCTTTAATAAAGAAAAAGAAATAAAAAGAATGAAAGCAAATTAACCAGAAAATATCAGACATTAACCCATGTATTGATCTCTATAGTAAATTTCTCTCATACATGTTAAGATGTATACATACATGTTTATTTACTTGTTTATATCTGTGACTCATCCAAAAACAAAAAAGGAACAAGAACTGACTACTTAAAAAATATATTTCGCCAGCTAGTTCTTTTAGTTCTCTTCCTTGTAGCTCTATTGCTTTAAGTCAACAGATGGCAGGTCCATCAATTGTTAAAAAGCTTTCAAAACAGTTCACCTCAGGATAAGAAGCAAAAGCAACTGGTGAGCCAAGAAAAGTAGCAGAGTACGAAGGAAACCTGGCTGCTTTTTACAACAGTGGTTCCAGACTCTCTGCTCTAGACTTGGGTCTGAACCAGTGGAACTTGGTCAGCTCTGGGCAGGTTCAGACTACCCAAACTGACCTTTTCCTAGTTTCCGCTCCACCTTGGCTTCATCCTCCTGGATCAGAATGACTTTCAAATGCTATTTCCTGACCTAGTATCATCTTTCTGTCCCAAGAATGTAAATATAACTGAGTTGTTATTTAAACCCTACAAATTGTTTTAGAAACACATAGGGGGACAGAAGAACAGACTCAGGATGGGGGTGGGGAAGGTGTGTCACTTCTCACTTCTTCAGGAAATATTAGCTGCAGAAAAATTACTTTTCCTAATTACCTTTTCTCTGGCTTTCTGAAGGATTCTCTATATATCTGTCCTAGAACATAGCTGTAGTGGTGCTTAATAACAGTCAACAAAGTGGAGAAAGGGAAAGTAACAAGGTCATTTCAAAAACAAAGAACAATAAAAAGAAATGAACTTGTATCCCAGCATATTAGAAACACCACACACAGAGACACAGAGGAATTGACATATGCATTTAAACTTATAGAAATATGTGTCCAGTGGATATGTTTTATATATAAAAATGTACTCTCATTAGAAAGATTAAGGAAACTTCTAAAGATCAAATTCCCTACTTTGGAAATGGGGGTGGGGAGTAATAAACATAGTTGCAATTTAATGCAACAGTCCATAGTGTATGTATTTCATAAATCAAAAGAGCAGAAAAAGGGAGACTGAAAAAAGAAACAGGAAGATGAAAAGTGAATTGGGAGTAAATGGAAGTTAAAGAATAATGAAAACCTGGTGGAACGTTAACTGCATTCTCTCCCTAAGCTATTTCTTCTCTGGAGCCTGTGTGGGAATTTGGCGGCCCTTCAGTGTCCATGGCAGGAAGTCACAAAGTAAAGTGAACTCCTTCTTCATATTGTATGAGGCTGAATTTCCTGGAAGATGACCCTTCTTATGTTGGATATACTATAAGCATCCCCTGTACATGCAGATAAAGCTGCCTCTACACAACTGTGAGACCCACCGATAAATCAAAGTATCATCAAATACAAAGAAGCTGTGGTCCCCAAAAGAGAATCTGTAAAGAGAATCTCCTAGACAAGAAATTGTAGGCAAAAACTTAGGAAAAACATTGAAATTCTGAGAATCCATGCTTCATAAAATTATCTTGTGGAGGAATTTTAAACTATAGTTGTGAAAGTAGCTCCAGTCCAGCTGAATGAAGGCACCATTATTTATTAACAAAAGCTCCAGCAGATGATCTAAGAGGTCTTCACAGATCACATATTTCTGATTGCTTGGACTTCTTCATGATGGCTGTGAGGCAACCTCTACAGAGAAGGGCGAGCTCATGAAAGCGGCTCATTATACGTCTATAATGCCGTTTCGTGAGCGTAATTGGAGATGGGGGGAAAATGACTCTGACAGTGTCTTAACCGAGAACAAGGCTGATCTTTCAGGGGAGCAATTCATGTAATATATTAAGGGAAAGTTTTTCCGTGGAAGTTGTAGCTGGGAAAACTGATGGAGAGGACCATGACAACTCTTCATACATTACATACACAACCCCTTAGTTCTGAGGCTCAGATGCCTCTAAATGCCATAAACCCTCTTTCTGGGGCCATAGTTCAGTGCACCACTGTAATGAACCAAGTGCATTAAACATAAATAGCATCTACTTTACTTCATGAGTTGACTCCAAGATAATCCACTATGTCATGCCATTTTGAAAATCACATGGAATTTTCACTTTGCTACTAATAATTCAGACCACAGATGGTCTCTGAGTTCACTATACTCTGACAGCTAGAGTGTGTTCTTTGCCAAGAGGGGTAAGCTCCTGATGGAACTCCCAGGTCAAAAGTATTTGTTGACTCTCAAAGTAGAAAGGATTCTTCACCTCACAAACAGAGATATAGCTGTATGGCAGCATGCAGTTAGTTGTATATGCCTTAGGTTAGCTATACTGACCTTTTCACTGGTGAAGGCGCAATAATTTTAGTTGTTCCTTCATTCTCTCCATTTTCCAGATTTACAGTTATCCGGTTTATACTGTTTGATCCTAGTAACAAAGAGGAGAAAAGAAAGGGGAGAGAGAGAAAGGAATGGGAAGAAGGAAAACACAAAGAAGCAGGATAATTAGTGTCGCTGTGGTTATTATTATTATTACTACTAGTAGTAGTACTACTATTACTACTACTACTACTATTAGAGGGAGTTGAGACAAGGTCTTGTCATGTAGCTCAGACTGGTCTCTAGCTTACAATCCTCCTGCCTCAGCCTCCCAAGCTTCCCAAGCACTGAATTATAGGAATCCACCACCACATTAGGACAGAATTATTATTTTAATGTGCACTGGTAGGGACTTTGCACCACATTTGATCAACTCCAAATAAATAATAGGCCACTCAATATATCTGAGGTAGACTTTCCTCAGATTTATTAATCTGACATGTATTAAACCCTCAATATAACAATTTCCCAGGGGTTTATCATCCTTTGAGACTCTTAAGACTGACATTAATTGACATTACCTTAGTCTGTTAAATTAAGACTTTAAGATACACAATGACCAGTTCTTTCCTTATTTTGAAAAATTTCTAACTATAAGTTTCTTTTTTTAAAAAAAGTATTATTTACTTTATTGTTATAAAGGTGATATACAGAGGGATTACAATTACATGAGTGAGGTAATGAGTATATTGTGTTTCTCCCAGACCTCAACTGAAACCAAACCAAACAAAAAAAACTTTCAAATCTGAAAACATATCAATTAATAATGTAAACAGTAATATAGACCTGATTTGTATCATTCACATAAAAAAGGTTTCAAATATGTTTTTATGAAAACATGCCTGAGTTTTTAAAAGCTTATTCCACTGATTTGCGTACATGCTAAACTGGACCAGCAGAGGGCACCCACAGCAGATAGGATGAAGGAAATAATGATGGAAACAAAGACAAACGCCTGCCCTGAAGGTCTGGATCTCTGTTCCCAGGGCAGAGGCAGATAAGCCTTTGGAAGCAAGATGTGTGGGCTCTGATGATGGCTCTTCCCCAGGGTGCATGCACCTCGCTCTATGAGGAGGCAGTTTAGGGGAACAGGAGATCAGCCTGTGTGGATGAATGATCACCACAGCTCTTCCTCAGAGCTGCTTCTCATAGGACTATGCCTGCATTCAGAGTCCTTGCACCAATGCATACTCATCACTCATGAGAGTCATGAGAAAGCTCATATATTAACAAGTACTATCACTGATGGAGCCCTTAGTATGTTTCAGGTATTGTCCCTCAGCACTCCTCATTTATTTATTCATACAATCCTCATAACAAACTTAGAAAGCAAATAGCAATATCACTTTATTTTAAAAGATATTTAGAAATGAGATTGCCCCAAGGTCCCATAGTCATGAATGGTGGGACCAGCTTTGAAACAGAACAGTTTGGTTCCAGAGATTTAGACCTTACCCATCAAAGGAAGAATGCTTTCCCTTTGCCACCTAGGCCTCAACCATAATTAGTACAAAGTCAGACAAATCAAAGGTCACCTGGGACATAGGATCTCTTCAGAGAACAGGTGAAAGTAATGGAAAATGAAGAGAATATTCAAGCTATTGAACTAAAAGAATGCTTTCTCTCCAAGGAAACCAAGACTGATACTCAAGAGGAGCATTTGAACACCCCCCCAAGTTGTCAAGTCCCCCGAAAAGCAGTCTGGTGATATGTCTGGCTAACCAGTCAGGGAAGATTAACATTCATAACTGCCTTAAACAGAGAAAACAAATGGTGGCTTCAAATAAGTGCTACAAATACCATTATTTTAAGGAGTTGAACATGGATCATCTCCAAATCGTGTTACTATTTTGGAATCCTGATCTGAAAAGTTGTATCTGGAGGTATATGTGGCACTACAGGTGAGCTCATAGTGGAGCCAGCATTGATAACTGAACAACATCCTGAATCTTGGAATTACAAAGAGGCACACTAGCCAGGCACTGGTGGCTTATGCCTGAAAATCATGATTCAAAGCCAGCTTGGGCAGAAAAATTCAAGAGATTCTTATCTCCAATAAACCTGCAAAAAACCTGAAGTAGAGGTGTGACTCAAATGGTAGAGAGCCCAGCATTGGGCAGAAAAAGCCAAACAAGCACTCAAGGCTCTGAATTCAAGCCCTAGTACACACACACACACACACACACACACACACACGTATCACTCCGATAAATATGACCAAGTATGACAAATAGCACACAAGCAATTATTTTGCACTGTTGCATGTCAACCAGACATGGGCAGTATAGTTATCCATGTCATCTTTTTCAGGACCACACGGCCATTAATAAAATCCCAGATTGTACACACCTATCTGGGATAGAGCTGCCTCCCAGTGGAACTCTATAGGTGTGGCTCCCAGACAATGGCAAAGAGATTAATTCCCTTGTATCCCAGGCAGTAGTAACCCAAACGTTAATGTTTTTCATTATTCCTAAAAAACTTTAAACGTGGCAATGTTCTTGGCAGATACAACTGATTTACAGTATAAGTTAAAGAGACCCCCACATAACAGTCTTCCCAGACTTAGGGGAAGAGGACAGGGGCCAATGCTTAGTGCTAAAAAAGAGCTGGGAAAAAGTAACTACTGTCTTAACAAAGCCCTGTGAACCAGCTGAAGAACAAACCAAGGTTTACTCCAACTTTCATCTCTGTAGACTGACAGGTCTTCTTGGAGTCTAACAACCAATCACTTTGGGCAAAGTGAAGCTGCCTGATGACTTTTACCTAGTTTCCTTCCAATCATGTCTGCCACTTTTTAATGCATAGCTAGATAAATAGAATAATTTAAACAATCATTTAAAATAGAAAAAATTGCAAACAATATTTATGTATTTTCTTTAAGAACCCAATATTTGACTACTCATAATATTTCAATCATATTTTTTTGATATTCTGGATAGATGGTTTTCCAAAAGAATTTCAGAAGAAAAAGTCATATGCATTATCTCTTTCATAGACATGGGCAAGCAACATGGTTAAACTATGAAAATTAGTTGCTTGATCACCAGGACCAATTTACTAGCATAAATATTATCACTAATATAACCTAATTCATATTCAGAGTTGCAAACTGCTCTTTACTATATCTGTGTATGGTCTATCGATGTGTACTAGAAAATCTGGTTATATGTGTTCCCCTACTGAATCCATAACTATGTGTGACCTAGAGAAAGCTGAGTTTTTTAAGCCTCACTAGGAAAACAAGACTCCTTGGGGGGAAACCACTTAGAAGCATTAACTTACTGGGAGGACTTACGACATTATCTTTATGTCTTCATGTATTATATGCCACAAAATGGTTTCATTTTAAAGACAAGAGAGAGGAGGCCAACTGTTAAACTAATATAGCAGACGAGTAGCAACAGTTTCAGGTAGATACTACTCCAGAAGATGTTTTGAGGTTAGAGAAATCTTTTTTCTCCATTCCTTTTTCATTACAACTTGTAACAGGGATACAAGAAAGAACATAGCAATACATAAATATAATATACCTGCAATACATAAAATTAATTCGAACCTCAACTTAACCGCCAGTCACTTCAAGAATTAAAACAGTGAGAAAGGTTTTCTTACATTTCACAAATCAACCTAGGTGAGTGCAATTCTTTATCTTTCTGACAAGGCTCAAAGGCTGTTTCCCACCTAACATACCTAAAAACATACATTTTCGAAATTATTCATAATATAGCCAAGAAAACCAATTAAATTCAAAAATGCAAAATAACGCATCTTTATTAATAAAATAAAGGACATCATCAATGTGCCCCTCCTATTAGCCCATTTAGTCAACTAAGATCTATTCTTAGGAAAGATCTGTTTCAGTTTCTAACACTTTCTCACATGGAAAGTAAAACTCAACATGATGGTATTGTGTGTATCAAGTGTTCAGAGTAATATCTCAGCCAAAGGAAAAAAAAATTAAATCAAACACCTGGACTTGGCAGAATGAGAGACACAGGTCAGGAGGATACAAAGCCAGGTCCCACTGCTTAGAGCTTGGAAGGCAGCCTTTGCACACCACTTTTAATCATAGCTACAGAATATCTGTGACAAAGATCCTTCATTGACATACGGCTATTACGGTTCCTAAGTAAACCTTTATGCTACTTTAGATAATATAATGGTAGCTCTAGTTTTCTTAATGAATTCAAATTAGTGAGAATTTGCCATGCCAACATTTGAGAAGAAAATTAATCAATTCAGCAAGGCTAGGATATGTCAAGAGGGCTGATTCATTTTACATATTGTTCTCATCAAAAAGACAGAGGACCTTGTCACAATGTCATACCTGGAAGGGCAAGTTTTATGGGAACTGTACTTTTTTTTTTTAATGACACAAACTGAGCCACAGCCTATGACATATTTCTGGACTAGTAGACATTATAACTGAATCTGAGCCCTCTCGCCCAGACAATGCTCAATGGCCAATTCCAGAACTCCACAGTCTTTTTGTTCTCTTTCAACAAACTATGTCCAAATGCTTGCAACCTGTGTGCATCAAATACTATACCAGGCTTTTGTCTGCTAAGGCTCTGTGTATACGAGCATCTGCATGTTAAGTCACCTGCACCTTTAGTCCAGGAACAGTGGCTGTCAGACACAGAATCAATTTCCCCAGGATCTGTTTAGCTACGTGATTTGGGGAAAACTCTTAAAAGTCATCCTGTGACATCAAGATATGATGATGAATATACATGCATTTTCAATTCCAAAAACACTTTGCCTTGAAGTAGTAGGAATCGTATAAAATTCATAACTCTATTTGACACCTGTCGACATAAATAAAATCTTTGATGTTATTTAAATGTTGTCATGGATATTAATTTACAGAGTGGGACTAGAACATGAATGGGTGACATTAAAATGTGAGAAAACTTTATTTTGATATGTAGAAACAGGACACGACTACTGAATGAGGCAAGTTTGTGATGTATTATTGATTTCTTTGTTAAAACCCTCATATGTAATTTTTTTTTGTAGTGCTAGAGATCAAACCCAGGGCCTCAT